CAAATATGGAGCTCCCGGTAAGAGAAAGCCAATGTGATGTCAAGGCGGGAGGGAAGGAAGAAAAGCACCAAAGAGCTTCTTATTGGAAGCAGACACGCACACACGCACGCATACACACAAGTTGACCACACCCACAATGAGTGTGTTATGGACAAGCAAAACCGCATACATGTAATCACAGATGTGGCTGATGGTCCAAAACGGGATTGGGCGGAGGGTGCGGCAGTTTCCTTCTCCGCTTTGGACGACAGCAAGAGCAACAACAACCGTTAAGAAAAACAAGCATACACTCAAAGACAACAAGGCCGAAGAAGAGAAACGGAAGGCGCTGTAGAGACAGCGTTAAAGGATCGTTGCTTGCGTACGGGACAAATGGTTCAAAGGAGCTAGAGGACGAGAAACTGAAACCAATAATTCGAGATGAAACGAGGACAAATCAACAAGGATACATAGACGTTGGTGATGATACTTGTGTGTGCGCGGGCGTACGTATGGAGTAGTATGAAAGAGTTAGTTGATCGGCGAACGAATAGCACGTCTTGTCTCGATCCCCTGGTTGCTCCAATATATAAACCAGACGATAGCGCTATTNAAGAGCACAAAGCAGATTAAGAAATGACCGACATTTTCGCACATGGAATGTTCGAACGTTCAAAGGACAAAAAGCCCCGGGGTAACAGGCGAGAGAAATGATGAACCTAACGAACCCTCAGGTATGATATTCTTTACCGGGGTAACAGGGGTGCACGCGTGCTTGATCGAGGGCACGTTATTCGAGGGGAAAGTCAATTGGCTGTAGGCGCACAAACCGCACGCAATCAGGCTGTGAAAACAGGACAAAACCACAACAATGACCACGATCCGTTGAAATGGGGCAGGGTGGGGGACGCGAGATAGATGAAAGCATCAGGGAAACCAGAATGAGGATAAACGAGCCAGATGCACCGCAATCCGCGACGGGGGATGACAACAAAGTCAACACTTCGTTTTGACCGGGGATCAACTGATGGACAAGAGTGGGGGGATTTTGGGGGACCCGAGCAGGCAGTTCGATTACGACAATGTTCCAGAGACAAATAAAGTGAAGGAAAGAACCCACAGAGGCCAGATAGTCGGGAGGGCACCGTACCTTTTCTCTCCACCAGACCGAGTTTAGGCACGCCCGTGAGCGCTGTTGCTGATCGGACAACGGGAGTGGACGCATTAGATTAACAACATTGTCCACCGGTACTACCACTCGAAGCGCCGCGGTTGGCATGACTGCCTTCGGGATTGTGGTGGGGTCCCAATTTGATTCCGTTAGCCTGTGGGGAAGGATGCAAGGGTATACAATGAGGAAAAATGAAAGCACAACAACTTCGACTAAGCTCCTAACGACGGGATTAACTGCAAACATATTGAGAACCATACAGTAGTTAGGTTAAAGAAGTGAAACCCAGTCAGTAAAAAGACAAGCTCATCCCTCATCGGTAAGGATAAAGCTTCTTTGCAGACTGTACATTCATAGATCATATTCCACACGTTTGAATGCAGACTGTATGCCGAACCGATAACAGTACAGTAATTCTTATGAAAGAAGAGAAAGTTTAATGATTTGTTTGTGGGTAGAGTACGGACAGGTTGCCCGAGCCAAGGCAGGTGGATTTTCGTACGGAATTCACAACCAGAGCGTAGACAGTGGAATCACTGCCAAACGATGTGCTGCGCATTGAATAGGTAATGTACTCAGTAACAGGACCGAAGCTTTTCCTATCGATTGGATCCCCGTCAACAGCCGCGTATGTGCGATGCGTCTCTAGGGTTCAATCGGCGTCCGGAAGAGAAATAATACCAAAGGGCGTTTGTTCATCATACCGGCATATGCACCGAACAATGGCGGTTCTGATACACAAAAAGACGCTTTCTACGATGAACTCATTGATCTCATTCGGATGAGTCGATGCTCCGATGTAGTTGTACTTACACGTTTGAAAACTGAGCGCAGCAGAAGCTTCCGTAGACGGTCGTTTGTGCTTTACCCTGTCGGCGAACAGATAATGGCTATCTTCTTCCTCAAAAGAGGCTTATAGCCCGTCTACCTAACATACTCTGACGAACTGCGCATGCCTTGCGAGTTTCGCGGCGATCAATGAAGTTCACTTCACTGCATTTCGTTGTACGATGTGGGGTGCATCCCGGGCCTAGAGCATACTCGTTGGTGCACTCAATTCTTACTTACGTAATGTCCCAAAACAAAAGCAAATTGTTATGGAAAGACAACGGTTATCGGACACCCAAAACCGACGAAGATGTTCAGCACGAACTAGTTAGTTAGTCAGTAACCTGGACCTCTCCGAACAAGAGTGTCAGGCCTGCTCCAAAGATACCTCAAACTAGAGGCCAAACGAGTACAAGACACGTAGTAGATAGATCATTAAGAGAAACTATTGTCCAGATATTCAACTCTAAGACCTGTTGAAACAAAAGCTTCGTGGTGCAGGATGGATAGAGAATAAAGTGATTACGGAGGAGAGGAATCGAACATGCACCACTACAGTTCAAGATTACGGTCTAGCTATTTATATACAATTCTTAAAAGAAGCCTAGGAACCAGTGAACCCAATTAATCCAATAGGGATTGTGCTAGGAGCTGAAATCAACCGAACTGCAGGTATATCATTGAATACAAATTGCATTTCCAGCAGTTAGCACTTGATTGAATATAAACCACTTGCAAGAATGATCCACATAAATCAGAAAATAAAGCTGTATCCACATTTGACTGGTTGAAGGACTTACATCATTGTTAACATCAAGGACTCCTTCTTGTATTTTCTCGTGGATACATTTGGCCGTATCGATAAATGCTTCTTCAACATTGGCAGCAGTTTTCGCAGAGGTCTCCATGAAAATCAGACCGTGTTCTCGGGCGAACGCCTCTCCCTCTTCCTTTTGTACATCCCGACGACCCTCTAAATCGCTCTTGTTTCCGATCAACATGATGACCATATTTGAGCTGGAGTGCTGTCGGGCATCCTCAAGCCAAGAGGTCAAATGTGTGAACGTTTCACGTCTGTGTAAGCGGGAAAAGGTCGAAGAAAAATTCACTGGAAATATCAGTAAAATAGTTTTTTAAAAAAATGCAAAGCAGCGGAAATTGGTCATAAGTGTGATATTTACAGATATTGGAGGAATGTATAATAACGACGCACAAACAAAACTCTGATGGATGTTTCGCATAGAGCTGCATACGGCACACAATATATTTACCACAGGCTTGACAACAAGCATGGTGCCGACGCAACAACAATAACAATGACAGTGAAAGGGGATAGGTGGATTAAGATACAGAACATAGTGAAAAAACGACACACAATACAGTTAACCAATATATATTTCCAAGATTGAGAGGAAACTCGAGGACAGCCACAACAATTTTCTCCTCAGAGAAATCTAAATCTTTCTTTTAATGGAAAGAACGAGGGTAGAATATCACGAACAACTTACCGGGTAATGTCA